TATCTATCTATCTATCTATCTATCTATCTATCTATCTATCTATCTATCTATCTATCTATCTATCTATCTATCTATCTATCTATCTATATCATCAAATTTTTTTTTAATCAGATGAAAAATAAATCCGCGTGGTTAATTTAATTGAATTTCACTCATAAAAGCATTTTGTAGTCTTCTTCTACACCTAAAATTAGCTTTCAGAAATGAACGCATACAGTTTTCCCGGTTAAATGTCACAGGTGAGTTGGAGATGTTATTAAAAAGGTTAAAAGGCGCCGAGTTTTGGATCCAACAAGGTGGTTTTCAAAAGGCAGCAAAGTGATTATTTAGTAGGTTTAATATTAGGTATTTATACCCTTAAATGACTGGTGTCAAAAATAAAAGTAAGACAGGAGCGTTTGATTTATTATTTTTGAAATGATAATAATAATAAAAAAAAAAAGTGCAGCTAAAGATCCTTAAAAAAAAAAAAAAATGTTTTTCCTCGAATGCGCTCTCATTCCAGCGCGCATCTCATTTCAAGCACGGAATCTTTCCACAACATAAAAGTTTAATCCAAATATGATCATTAATATTCAGTCTGACTGTTTTTTTTATCATTTTTTTTTTTGTTTTTCTTTTATTCTACATAACATGCAGATTATTAAAAACTGTCCTGAGCGCTGCGCGTCGCTGAGCCACTTCTCCAGGATCCGTCATCGACATTTTAAGCCGCAGCAGGGAAAAAAAAAAACTTACAGAAAATAAATAACGGAACTGCGTAGAAGCTGTCTGCTTTCTCGGTAAGGCCCCGTCGATTTTAATTTTAGACTTAAAAAAAAAATAAAAGTAACATTTCCGAGAATTTGAGCTCATATCTGCACACATAACACCATATGATACCGATCTGTAATAAGTGGAGGCATCCTGAATGGCGCAGATATTTAGCCACAATGGGAACATTATGTAAGGCCGAAAACATGACAGGCGTTTGTTGGGACTTATTTTGGAAAACAGGAGAAGACAGTTTTGATGAAGGCATAAAAACGACTTTCACGATTCAGAGAAGAAATATAATACAACAGTTCAATTAAAATCACTCTGGAAATAATAATTTAGAGACCATACCTCATCAGAGAGAAGCAGAGAAGGGATTTGTGTGTTTGAGTTAGTAAAAACAACAACAATAAAACACAAAGACAAGTTGGAAACTGTGTTAACTTTCTATCAAACTTAAACAGTAAAGTTTATACCAAGAGAAATACACACTAGAAAAAACGATCTAGAAATAAGTAAAAATTTATCAAATGAAGTGTATTTACCCTTATTTTGAGCAGGTAAATGAGATAGTTGCAAATGGAATGAGTGTTTTTACTCTTAAAATAAGATAATTAGATAAAATGCACCTGAAATAAGACCATACAATTGTGATTTCTTATTTTAAGTGTAAATTGTGTTGTTCCATGGGCAAAATGTCTTTTTTTCCACCTCAGTTCAAAAACAAATGCACTTATTTTAAGAAGAAATGACTTATCTAGATTTGGATTCTTTTTCCAGTGCAGAAGCCTTAACTGCTCCAGAAAATTAGGTCATTTAAACAATTAAAACGGATTTGTTATGTGATAAACAGGAGCCAGAGGAGGTGAATGCTGCATAGAAGGAGATTTCCAAGCATATTCATGGAAAGTTTACTGAATAGAAGAAGTTAAATAGAGAAAGTTTCACTTTGCTGGAGATGATTGTGAAGGTGAGATTATGTCTGCTGTCTGACAATGCAGATGAGCTGACTACAGGCTGTTCGCCTGTATGATATAAAGTAATTCATGCGAAAGAAGCTCCTATTGTTTAGGTCATTTACTTCACTGTGAATAGAAATTATAGGCCGACATCTCTGTTAGAAATATCAATGTATTCATTTATTTTTGGGTGGGGGGTGGGGGTTAAATAATGTTTTTTTTTTTTTTTTTAAGGCTGGAAGACAGTATAATCAGAATAATGTGTAAATATATTTCACTGTAGTTGATACATATAAAAGATGGATTCCTCTTTCTGTTAACTACATTCTTGAACTTAGAATTTTCAGAAATGCTGCTGTTTTTATGACCTGTTTTTTTCTTCCACTAAATTTCCAATAAGTATGCTGTGGTGTAGTGCTTATAGTCAACAGCCAATTTATTTTCTATTTATCATTCGTGTGTCACCCTAATCAGATCCTAATCAAAAGTTTGGAGTCTTTCGCATTGACTGTGTTTGAATTAGTTATTATATTTACACAGGACTCCATATTGGGTTATTAGAAACCAGCCATACTTAGTATATATTTTTATAGCAAAAATTAAAGTTAAGTAGAATCTAAAGAATTCTTAGATGCACCTTTTTTCTGTTTTTTTTTTTTTTTTTTACAAAAAATGTCAAAAGCCACAAACACATGTGGAGTTTAAATCTCCCTCTTTTTTTAGGAAGAAAACACAAAGAAGAAAACTGTTAATAAACAATGTCTAAATGGAGCACTGAAGTCCACTTTAAAAAATAAAATAAAAACATTTGCTCAGAAATTCTGTGAATTGTCACAAAGCTGCTGTCAACGTGATTAGTAAACGTTTATAGCCAGACTGGAAAAAATTAGAGGTGGACTGAAGCAGCCCTCAGAAATATCTGGAACATCAGAGGCTGCTTATAGCAGGTGTGAATACTTCTTTGTGGCATTCAAATAGGAAGCAGCATTATCTTGTAAGTCTTGAGCGGTTTTCTTCCAGTTCCACTTTTTCTGTTTCAACCACGCACTCAAGGGGAGGGTACACATGTATAGACTTGACTTCCTTTTTTGTTTTGTTTTTTTACATTGAGATCCATAGTTGGAAACAAACACTTTTTTTCCAACAAGATGAAACTTTTTGGTGTAAACAAGAAGCTGTATTGTATTTTCTTGGAAATAATGCTTCATTTTTATTAAAAGTTTGGAGCCACTAAAGGCCCGGGTGGAAGGACTCCTTATATGAAGACGGACGGAATGAGAGGTGGGCTTTTGCAAAAGTAAGTAAAATGTCAGGATTATCATCCTGCTCAAAANGAACTTCTCTTGCAATTGGCGCAGTTGTTTCTACACAAATAAAAGAAAAGAAATAAAAGACTGATTTGTTTACGAAACACAGATGAACTCTTATGTCATATTTAAAGCTTAAGAAATTAAACGAAGAGGGAAACAATTGGCTAAAAATTGTGGACCTTTTTTTTTTAAAAAAGGTCTGGTTACCTGCATGTCTTCAAGTTGTAGTTTGAGTTGCCTTCTTTCTTCCTGTCTCTGCTCCTGCCTGGAACAAACCAGCTGGGTGAAACTGTGTTGCTGCTGAGGTAGACGCTGCTTCCTCTTATTCTCTCTGTAAACTTCACCGATGCCAACCACTCCACCTCGTGAACCAGGAGAGCTTAAGAGGGAAGGGCAGTCCCCACGACGGCCGCTTTCCTCCCCTCTGCGGTTGTTACTGTTGCTACTGCCATTTTGATTCTCATGATTGCCTTCTTGGTTGTGGTCGCCGCCGCTGGGACGGACCAACGGGGAGTGACTCATGCCACGGATTATGTTCTCTACGCGGGCTCTCTTGGCACGAAGATGCTCATCGGACAGTCTGTCCAAGTCGAAGGAGGTTAAGGATTGAGTGGAGGTGTGAGAAATGTGATTTGAGGGTGGCAGTGGTCTTCCGAAGTTGGAGGAAGAAGATGAAGGAGGTAATGGAGGACCAGGGGAAAGGCAGTCAGATGGACTGTCCCGCGAAGAGTTACTACAGGCGTCTTCTGCCTGAATCTCTGAACCTCCACTGGACAAAGCCCCACTACCCTGCAAAAAAGAACAAAAAGTTACTTATTTGTCAATTGTTGATGTAAACAGCATTAATTTTTAACCTATATTGCTGATTTACTCGTACCTGAAAGCCTGAGTCACTCCCTCCATTCTTTCCTATATTGTTCTTTAATAACTGAGAGATAATAGTAGCCCCAGGAAAAGGTATCATGGCATCCTCATAAGAGTTGGCCCTCTTCAGCAGCTTTCTGAGTACATTCGACTTCTCCCCATCACCATTGGTGGGCCCATGGCCGTGACTCCCCAGTGAGCAGTCGCCATCCTGATCAGGGCCGTGTGACTGGTTCATGGCGTCAAGCAGGGTCTCCCGGGAACGAGGGAATATAGCACTACCCACGGTCCTTTTCACTCCGATGTCGACACGTCTGCGTTTGGTTTGTCTGGTTAGGAGGGTGGTGCTGTCATGATCAGGCATCACGCAGGGCAGCTAAACAGGCATGTCCAGGGGGGGCCTCACAGTCCAACGCACAGTGAGAGGATTCGCTGAGAAACAGAGTCAAAATGAATTACCATTGGGTTATTATAGTCAGTCTTATTTGTGTTTTTTTAAACTGTTCAAATAATTAAATAAAAAAATAACAAACAGTTTCTTGCCTGGCTTATATTTTGCTGACAAAAAAAAAGAAACAAAAAAAGCAAGAAGTGGCTTTGTTTTTTTTAAGCGAAGGGAATGCCTGAAAGTAAAAACATATTTTAAAATGGCTCAAGGACATATTCCCACATGAACGAAGCACCAAAAAATCATTTCCTCTTTCCTTTACGTCCCCTTAAGAGGCAATCTTGTTTTCTGCATCTTGGAGCGAGTCGGGTCAACTGGTTCTTAATGCCAGAGGTGTTCCCTTCACTCTAAATTTAACATGTTCTTCCAAGTTGTGTATTGTTTCGATGGTTAACTGTCTCTCTTGAAAAAAAAAAAAAAAAAAAAAACACAAAGAGGGGAATAATGAAAATAGAGGAGCTGAGAGAGGGAATAATGGTAGTTCTGCTCCTGATGGTGCTCCGCAGGTAAAGACACAAGGGCGCGGGTTTCTCATTCTGTCTTTCTCTATGTCTCTGTCCCCCCTTCTATCTCTTTTCCCTCCGCTCCGTCTCCATCAAGATGCCATTATTCAGGACATTAGCGAGGAAGAGCTAAAAGCTCTCTCTGTCGAGGAGGGTCCCAGGGTCCTCTCTGAGAGCTCTGATGCCAACGTGTGCTCACGCAACCATACACATGCGCGCACACACACACTTTACCTAGAGAAGTACAGTGTAGTATAGGTGAAGAGGTAAGAGGTGGTAAAAAGGTCTTATTGCAGGCATTACCAGGTATCTAAGCTCTTCTGTGACCAGAAATATGGACATTAGCAGACACAAAGAGAAATGAATATGGGTTTATTTATACAGGTGAACTTTCATACACATCACCTACTCTTTTCTCCCTTCTTTTGTTCCCAACCCCCCCAAGAGCACTGTAGAAAAATAGTGAAAACTGCAGCGAATCATCACAAAAGAAGCAGAACTTTTTTTTTCTTCTTTTTTTTTCTCCATCAGGTTTGCTGTAACTTATCTTAGTAACGTCAACAGCCTCAATCCTTAGCTTAGCATTTTTTTTGCACATGAACGAACAAGCTTGTCTCTACAATTAGGGGATATTGGGGATACTAAATTAGAACAAACACGCAAACGCAAAAAAAGTAAGGAAAAAAAAACATCAGCTTTTGCAGCTTAATGAAAGTTCTCCACACCACTAGGAGGAGTCGACAATCATCAACTCATATGGGACCTTACCACCAGAAATGGTCTCAGTTGAATACTAAAAGATATATTAAATCTATAAACTAGAGTTAAAGGAAACATAACTTTTCTTTTTCCATCCAGATATCTACTGCATATCATCCGATGCAGCATTTTTCCTGTTGCATGTTTATATTTTTTTGTACTGGTGTGTTAGTCTAATTTTTTGTGCTTTCCATTGTAACTTTTCAGCTTGATATTCCAACGTTTAAGTTTGCAGGTCTTTTTGAGTTTGCTGTAAAATCATTCATTCATTTACATGACGTTTGAACCCCTCGGACACCGTAGCGTTCATGCCGCTATTCTGTGAAGACCATAGAGTTCTGATGGTAGTGGATTTATTCATTTGAATTTAGCAAGGTTTGAAACTATTTCCTCATTAACAGTTTGTCTAATGAGGAGTTAATCTGGTAAAAGTAGATGACAAATGAATCAAAGTTGACCAAAACGGCAATCTTGGCATATGGATCAAGCAAGTTTTCTTAATGTTTTAGACTTTATGCAAGCTTCAGCTAAATGTTTTGAAACATTGGATTTCTTCAGTGTATGATTTTCATTGAAAACTAAAAGGTATTTGAAAACAGTGACTGTCACCTGGAGGATGTTGTCTTATTTAAGGTAATCAGTGGGTATGGTACAGTGCGAAATTCTGACTTCTTTAGGAATTCTCCAGAATTACATATGAAATACATCTGACCGGTAAGATTATGTAGTCATATTAGCTACTGGCAATAGAAAAAAGGTATTTGCATGTTTTATGCATGCTTTATGTAAATGTCCCTTTCTCCTACATTTGTTGATGAAGATTCTGACTCATCCAGGTCATAGTCATTCCGTAAAAGTTTAAAAAACAATCCACTGGACTTGAACTTGGTTTCCAAGGTTTGAAGACGTTTCGCTTCCCCTCCAGGAAGCTTTCTCAATTCAAATGTCACTATCGACATTCCTGGAGGGGAAGCGAAACGTCTTCAAACCTAGAAAACAAGTCCAGTGGATTGTTTTTTAAACTTTTATGGAATTCTGAACATTTCAACTTTAAAACCAGAAACCACCTAACCCTTACAGAAAGTCCTACATTTTTGATTTCCCTTAAAAAAAAAAACCTTAGCCACAAAGTTTATGCATGTTGCTGGCTCTTAGCCTCTTTCCAACTCAACTTTTAATCTCTTTCTGCGAAAGAGGAGGATGCTTTATTAACATTGCTTACCACAACCAGCAAGACAGCAATAATGTCTTAAGAGGCAATATTTTCCAAAACATAGCCATACTCAGGTGATGTGCTTTCTCCGCTAATTGACATCCTCTAACTGAAAACAGTTGACAAGAGTGTGAAGAAACAAGTCAACATGCAAATATTAAAAGAGGCTACGAGTTCAGAAAAAATACTATGCACTGTGACACACAGTGTTAGGTCTTGTGTTACCAAATCTGCATTTGTAAAATCTACAAAACACATCTGGAAAAAGTAGTTCTTGTTACTGTTTACAAAAAAAAAAAAATATAAAAATAAATAAAAGGCTGGTATGAGTATTGCCAAAAAAGTTTAAAAAAAGACCACTGGACTTTGTTTTCCAAGTTTGAAGGCATTTTGCTTCCCATTCAGGAAGCTTTTTCAATTTAAAATGTCTGCATTAGTGTTGAATTCCAAGCTTTTATAGAGTAGCCGAAAAAAGCTTTGTTACGGCTTAAAAAACATGCAACTTGAAGCAAAAGAGCAGGTCCACCGCTTAGTAATGGGGAGTTGTTGAGGTCTTTGTTAGCCAGCAATACCCGATACTAGCCAATACCTCTGAAAGGAGAGTCGTTAGGGTCGCTGTTGGCCTGGTTGACCAGGCAAGATGTCTTGGTCCCCTACATGGCAATGAGTGTTGAGGTGATTGCTGGAAGGAATCAACACTATCGCTGTGTTGTAGGTTTTTAAAAGCTGAAACCTGAGTCTACCCCCTCTGTTTAAGGTTGGTTAATCCCTCTTAACATAGATGCTTCCTTCACACCCCTTTCAAACCACCCTGTCTTCTTTGTCCAAAATGTGAACATTCTGGTCCTCAAAAGAATGTCCTTTGTCAAAGTATTGTTTTCGTCAAGGATGACAAAATTGTTTTATTGACGTGTTCATGACGATAACGAAAACTGACGAGCTAAACGTGGATCTTTGATGATGAAAACTTAAAAATGATTAAAATGATAAAAATAAAATGAAAATGAAAATAATGATGAAAATAATCCAGAATGGTCCGGGTGTCTGACAGAACACCGGCACAGCACACTGAACTCTGACAAAACTTCTTCCAGCCGTGCTTGTGCAGAAATGCATCTTTGCTCTTACTTACTGTAGCTCAGAGTCTGCGCTTCTCCCCCTCCACATTGATGGTTCGGTCTCAGCAGTATGGCTCTTCCTGCTCTCGCAACTTAATAAACTACATGGCTGATCATCTTCTACCAAGCGTAAACAATCCATTTGTCTAACTACTGTATCAAGATTTTATTGCTTCCAGCTCATAAGAAGTGATGCTAAACATTATTTAACTTCTACCAAAATCCATGAATTATATTCAAACAAAGTCTTTATTTGCATACTGTTTTATTTTTGGATAAAGAGCCAGATGAAAAGGTACATAGATCTTTGAATATGTCTTTGTCATAGTTGTCCTTTCTATCTATTTAAATATGATTTAAATGTTTCTTTGTATTTTCATTAAAACATGTTCTATGCTTCCTTTAAATATTTCAACTTTTTAGTTAGCATATTCATTCAAATTATATCTGGATGGCCCTGGCATTACAAGGAAATTATTTAGGTTATCTCTGTATTTTTGTTTTATATCAAAACCCTGTGATTTAAAATCTATTTTGACCCCTGAGCAGCGGTAACAAAGGGTTGAATTCTCAGAAATAAAGCCAAAATTGCCAACGTAGAAAGAAGATTTTTTTTTTTGCTTATCTGGAGTAATGAAGATTTTATTAATGCATGCTTAATGCAAAATTCATAGTAGCAAATTAGCTAATATGATGTTTTGAGCTAGATCTGCTTTTTTTAACAACTTTTGTGAGACACTTTTGTATAAAGTAGGGCATTAATTCATAAAGATGTTTATTTGAATTCTATAAATCAAAATTTTCTGCTTAACAGCAATGATGAACTGCACGGCATCATCTATACCCAGCAATTGTATAAAGGCAAAAGCTGTCAGTCTGGTGAAGAATCTGGTTGTGATTCGCAATTGTTAAGTTTAACTTTATTTCAAAACATAAAATTGACTAAAACTGGACTAAAAACCAACTAAAACTATCACATGACTAAAATGTGACTAAGACTGATGATAATTTTCGTCCTAAAGAATCAGACTAAATCTAAGATGGCTGTTGAAAACAACACTGCTTTGTCCATAAGGTGTAGATGGACAGCCGAGTCTTGTCCAGGTAGCCCATGTGTGGAAACAAAGTCCATTGGTTTGTTTTTTTAACTTTTTTAACTTTTTTGGAATGTCTATGACCTGGATGACTGAGAATCTCCACCAGCAAATTGTATATTTGGGTTATCTGAATACTAAAAAACAAAGATGTTTTTTTTTTTTTTTGTATCTTTGGCCCTTACTTTGTTGAAGCAGTTTGGGGTTGTTCCCTTTTTGTTCAACTGTCAATGCTCCTCACTGATCAAGCAAGAGCAACAACACAACGTGGTTGCACATGTTGATCTAAATGT